ACGGATTACAAAATTTTGAATTAAGAACAACAATAAAAGCTAGGAACTATGAAAAATTAAGTGACGCGATAAGAGGCGCGAAGGATGAAGAAACACCAAAATCGGAAACATCATGTCAAATACACCGCTTACATAAACAAAATTATAATTGGAATTACAATCGCGGTAATCGTACCTTCAGAGGTACAACAAATAATTTCAGAGGTAAAGCCAATAATTTTAGAGGTACAACAAATAACTTTAGAGGGACAAATAATTTCAGAGGTCCAACAAATAATTTTAGAGGTACAACAAGAAATTTCAGAGGTTCAACAAGTAATTTTAGAGGATCAGCAAATAACTTCAGAGGTCATGATAGAAGGTACACTAGAATGTTCGTATGAATGCATCAGCTGAACAAGAAGTTGAAAGAGAAAATTCGGAAAGTCAGTTTTTTCGACCCCAGTAGCAAGCAATATTTTTCTAATATTTATACAAGATTGATATAATATTAAATGTTGACTAGATATTACAAATATTTATATAATATTCATTTTATATTTATAAATTAGTATATGAATTTCAACATATATTACATATTTATGAAATGTATTTTTATCAAGATACCGAACAACAAACATGAAAAAAAAAGTACCATGTTGGGACAACTTGTAGGTAATTTATTTCACAGGGTTTTTATTGGAGCAATATTAAAAAATGATTTGAAAAAATACCAGCTGTTGTGAAATTAACACCATTCGAAATCTCGCTTTGCACACTATTAATTGCTCATTAAAAAGTAATATTTTTTTTATTTTTGCGAACAAAAAATAACAATTTAATTCATCATTTTTATAAAACTTACTTAAATTTGTGTTTCACCTACAGATGCGCTTGCTCTGCTGGAACGCGTTTGCGCAATGTGCAACATATACATATTTTCTGTTATTGTTGGTGGTTCAAAAAGTATTTTGTGTAAGTTCATGGTGTTTGTCCTATTGTGAATTGTGATTATCGGTACTGCGATAAATTCAGAATACTGTAGTAGATGCCGTTTTGTCAAGAAAACAGTACTAAACCTACATAACCTCACTTCTACATGCAATGCAGAAAATGCTATTTCTCAACACGTAAGTAACTATATTTAATAAGAGGTTTAATATTTCTGAATATAAGCATATTATGAATGTAGAGACAAAATGATGAATGTCCGGGAGCAACAAAAAAAAAAGAAGAAATCGAGTTAGAAATTGCGGGAGATACGCAGAAATTGGATGAATTCGTAAGCATTTATTATTATTATTAACTTCTAGTATTTATAAACTAGTTTCAGACTGATAATAATGTTTATTTGCCAGGAAGAGAAGACGTAAAAAACATGTATATGCACTTTTGAAGAAATTATTAATAATGACCCAAATTGCTTTCAAGTTTTCAGGGCAAGGAAAAAAATAAGCTCTCTTTTAGTGAACTCACAATTAACAAGGCTACAGTATGTAAAGTTATGTGATTTCTTAAAAATTACGAACTTTGTAAGTTAATTTAATTGTAGGTACCACACGGAAACGTCACAAAAACGCCACAACTACTGAAATTTAAAAAATGGTAGGACCTCATTAAGCGCAGACAAAAGCAAGAATGAATTCTCATCGAAAAAAACATGAGGTATGATTTTTTTTATTTTAATTAATTATATCGCGTTTCAATGAATCGGTTATAGAGCAAATAATTATTAAATAAATATTTCTGTGTAACGATTGAAATGTAGCAGAACATTGTTATTTCCATTGACAATGTATTTTTATTTCATTATAAGTTGGCAGTGTATTTTTATGTTTAAAAAATTTATATTGTGTTTCACATTAGGTGATTTTTTAAATTTATGCTCTGGCTGCCCATGAAGCTTATGTCAACAGTTTCAGTTTCACTGCTGACATAAGTGTCATGGGTAAGTACAGCAGAAATAAAAAAAAATCACCTGGTACAGATTTTCAACGAATTGGTTCTAGGACAAATAATTTTTAAATGTAAAAATATTGCCGTAACGTTTCAAATACACTGTCATTTTCAGTGACAATGTATTTTTGTGTTTAATAAATTTTATATTGTATTCCATACAAGTTTTTTTTATATCCATACCCCCTTTCATATGAAGAGCATTTATTAAATGTTCTGAACTAAATAAGTATTAAACATTGAAAATAAATATATATTCAATATTTAAAACCAATATTGATTTTCTAAAAAAAATCTGTCGTTCTTGTTAATGTTCCAGGCTCTTGTCTTTCTTCTTAATCTTTCTAAATTTATTGTGGTATTGCCTTAGATCATATAATAAATAGATACCACCACGCCGTGTTCTTCTCCTAGGAGCGCTTGTGACGACATCCTCCTGTCACACGTCTCTCTCGTGCATGGAGGGATTACAATGAAGCTATCCTTGCCTGATCACTATTTGAATTTTACGCGCCTAAATTTTAGGAAGTATGTCTAAACTAACTTCGTACGAAAGATGTTGACTGCTTGATTTTATAAATAATTCACAGTAGATAACGAAAGGAATAGTAAATTATTGGGCAGCAATTGTGATCCTTTATGATTATATCATTTAAAATAGGATCTTTGTTCTAGATTCTAAAATTGTTTTTTGTACAACAACTCAAAAGAGAGGTTAGAAATAACATCTGTCAAAAGCGATTTGTTGCGCTGATGCGGTACAAGGGTGGAAGTGAAATAGACATATACAGGTGAAATGCATATAACAAAGATGAGGATGTGGTGATCACACAAGGATAGCATTATACTACTCCCCTTGACGTAGAAAACGACAACAGATAGCTTCATGTCTAGTCACAGCTTTCAGTTTGAGTATTGGTATCTATTTATTATATGATCTAAGGGTATTGCTACCTCGCAGTCTTTAATTGTTCTGTATATAGTTGCGCGTGTAATATATTTGGTCCAAAACATATTCACAATTTCACTTTTAGATACTTGGGTAACTAACTGATACATGGCTCTTTGCAACACTATTTTGTATGACATTGTTTAAGCGTTAATTGACATAAATTGTATAAAATGGGAAATAAGAGTATGTATATGTAAATTTTTCGCAAAACTTTTTTACGTACTAGCGGTGAAAGTGACATAGAATTGGAAAATCTTAGTAAAAGTAAAGAATATACATGATTTTAATCTTTTCAATGGCACTACATACCTTATTTATAAACTGTTGACACATGATGTACAAATTAACAAAAAAAAGAAGACAAATAAACGCAAAATTTAATTTAATTTAACAAAATAACAGAAACAGACCAAGTAAATTGAAAAATTAGGCTTTTGGAAAAATTGTTTAAAAGTTCACAAAACAATCTGGTATATAGATCTTGACGTGCTGGTTTGGAAAAATTAGCGTCTTTAGTTTATGGTTCCCAAGCAAGATTTTTGAAATATTCGCTTGGAAATTGAATTGTTTTCAAAATTCTGCAAATTGCCTTATTTCAATTGGTGATTCTCGAGAAATGACAACAGTTATCAGAGAAATGAAACCAAAGGTGAATTTTAAATATCGAAAGACACATGAAAACGTGTAGCTAATTTTCAAAAATGGTCGAAAAATGGTCAAAATTTTTATAAGAGGGCAGTATTTTTTGGAAAAGTTGTCTGCAAATTTACAAAAAATTCTAGTAGATAATCTCGGCGTGCTGGTTCGAAAAATAGAGCGAGTTTATTGTTCTGGAGTAACTTTTTGGAAACATTCTAAGCGAAACGTCAAAATTTTTATAAATTCTAAAAATTGCCAATTTTCAGTTGGTGATTTTTGAACAATGACAGTTATCGAAAACATGAGGCCAAAGGTAACTTCCTAAGGTCAAAATCCACAAGAAAATGTCTTGGCTAATTTTTGAAAGTGGTTCAAAAATGGTCAAAATTTTTAAAAGGAAGCAGCATTGAAAAACTGAAAAAAAACCTACCTAAAAATTCACAAAAAAAATCGGTTATATACAACTCGACGTGCTAAAAAAAAAAAATAAAGCATGTCTATAGTTTCCGCACAAGAAATATTCGGTTGGAAAGTCAAATTTTTTCAAAATTATAAAAATTGCCTTATTTCAATTTGTGATTCTCGAAAAATAACAACAGTTATCAGAAAACTGAAGCCAAAAGTAACTTCTAGGGTTCGAAAAACACATGAACACGTCTTTAGTTAATTTTTGAAAATAGTCGAAAAATCGTCAAAATTTTTATAAGTGAAAAATTCCTCTTTTTGAAAAAGTTGTCTGAAAATTCACAAAAAACCTTGACATGTTGATTGGAAAAATATAGCGTCCTTATGGTTCCCGAACTAAAATTTTCAAAATATTTGGTACAAAATTCAAATTTTTTCGAAATTCTAAAAATTGTCGTATTTCAATTGATGATTCCTAAAAAATGTGAAAAGATATCGAAGAAATAAGACCGAGAGGAACTTCTAGAAGTCGAAATTCATAAGAAACTGTCTTTGGCTAATTTTTGAAAATGGTCGAAAAATGATAAAAAGGGACAGTATTGAAAAATTCTACTATTGAAAAAGTTGTCTAAAACTTCACAAAAAATTCTCGACGTTTTGATTTGGAAAATATCGCGTAATTTACTGTTCTGGAACAAGATTTTCGAGATTTTGGGTTGGAAAATAAAGTTTTTTCAAAATTCTAAAAATTGCTGTATTTCAATTGATGGTTCTCACAAAATGACAAAGATATCGAAGAAATAAACCGAAAGTAACTTTTAGAACTCGAAATCCACAAGAAAATGTCTGTGGCTATTTTTCGAAACTAGTCGAAAATGGTCAAAATTTTAAGTACTGAAAAATTGCGCTTTTGGAAAAGATGTCCAAAATTTCCCAAAAACTTCTTGTGTGTAAATCTCGATATATTGATTCGCAATTCGCGTAAGTCCTAGTCGAATACGTACGCACCCGATTACATTACAGAGCGGACAACAAAAAAAAAGAAACTGGCTTAACTAATTACGAATAGAATTACTACCACGATGTCAACTACATCAACTGCGTGATACGCTCTGACCTTGGTCCTTCTCGGCGAAGTCTGACGACAGGATCGAACGATGGCTCCAGTGGCAAATGCAAATCCAGGCTGCTCCAGGGGGTGCAAAGTGTCGAACGGACAGCGATCTCCAATTCACGGCGTCGAGGAACCAAGGGGTTCAACAGGGATCAGATTCGCAGGCGAAAATCACGTAGTGATAAGCAATACAGCAATCAGAAGATAAGACATAAAAAAAGGAAAAAGAGGGTCCTGCAAGGAGGAAAAAAAACAGTTGTAGCGTAATGAAATCGAAATAGTCTGGTCTTACTCTGGTGGTAGGCGACCCTAATGTGTTTGGCACGCGACTAGGCCCCAAAATCCGGAACAAATCCGAAGACTGGCCGGAACCTTCACAAATGTCCCTCAGGACGTCGTTCCTGGACCGAGTCTAACTGGGCGGTGCTTGCCCGGACAATCCCATCCACTGGCGAAGGCAAATTGCTCAAAATTCCTGGACAGCACCAGCACTCCCGCACGTGGCAAAAATTTTTTCAACCAAAGAGACTAATGGCGACTCAAGAAACGGATGTTAAAAAAAACCCTATCACGGCTTCTCGAAGGTTTTTCCTTGAAGGGGGAGAAAGGCGGGAAATTTCCGCCATAAAGGCTATGATGAAAAAGGGCTAACTATTTCAAATTTGACACATAGTTCAACTTCCGCTGCTTTGCTCCTGCGTACAACCTCTGTCAAGTTTTTGACATTCGGTTAACCTCTTAATCCAACAAGTGTCAACAGCAATACACGCGCCAAAATAACGCAAATCGAATGTCAAAACGATAGGGGGAGTAGCAAGGCAAAGAAGGAGAAAAGCCACATGAAAAGTGTGCACAATTTAGGTGAAGAGGGGCACGGTTTTGGAAGAATTAGCGCCTTATGAAAGTGAGGTTATGTCGTGATACGATTTAATTATTAGTGAAAATGAGGGTTTTGTGCATTAAATACAAGATTATGCAGTCGTTACACCGCCTGTGGCCAGAAATCGGTTTTTATTTACACGATTTTCCTATTTTGTTTAATTTAGGATTACAGATTTTGTTAAGTGAGGTTATGTTAGTAGGAAATTCACTCTCACTCGTTTGTATTGTAATTATATAGCGATAAAATGCTCGAATTGGATATAAATAAACTCATACTGATAACGTACGGTCAAAGTTTGGCTTTTATTTACGATCATCACGAATTTTATTAAGTGAGGTTATGTGTATTGATACGGATTTTAAAACTTAAAATGATACCAAAACTGGTTCAAAACAAACCATTGTACACCGTTTTGGCCCTCAAGTAGTGGCATTTATTACTCATTTGTGATTTTATCGACAAAAGAAATTTTCAAGAGTGAGGTTTATATTTTGTTAAGTGAGGTTATGTTTACTGATGCGGATTTAAAAGCTAAAATGATGTTAAAACGGATTCAAAACAAGTTGTTGGGCATTGGTTTGGTCCTCAAGTAGTGGCGGTTACTACTCATTTGTGATTTTATCGAAATAAGAAATTTAGAAAAGTGAGGTTATCTTGATTATCACCAAATCCTCAAATCTTTAAAATCCCCAAGCAGGGAATCATCAGAATCGTCAAAATTTTCAAAAATTTCAAATTCTCAATCCCTCAAACCACCCGATCTTTCAAATATTCAAATCTTTAAAATCCTCATATCTTCAAAATCCTCAAACTCCCGCAAATCAAATCTTCAAATCCGCAAAAAACAAAACCTGAAGTCTTCATATTACTAAAATCTTCAAATCCCCGAAACTTTGAGATTACCAAATTTTTAAAATCCTCAAATGCCCATAAACCTCAGACCCTCAAAATCCGCAAATCAAATCCTCAAAACACTAAATCCCCAAAACCTAAAAATCCTCAAATCACCAAATCCTCGAAACTCTCAAATCCTTAAAATTCTCATATCTTCAACATCCTCAAATTCGCAAGTCAAATCTTCAAATCCGCAAACACAAAATCCTCAAATCCCTAAATCTTCATATTACTAAAATCCTAAAAACCCCAAATGCTCAAATTCTTCAAATCCCAAAACCATGAAATTACCAAATCTCCAAAACTTCAAGTCCTCAAAATCCTCAAATCCTTGAAATTCTCAAATCCTCCAAATATCAAGTCCTAAAATCCGCAAATCACCAAATTTTCAAATCCTCAAATCACAAATCCTTAAAACATCAGACTCTCAAAATTTCATATCACCAAATCCTCCAAACATTCAAATCCTCATTTTCAAAATCCGCAAATCAAATCTTAAAATACCCAAAACACAAAATCCTCAAAATCTCAAAAGCATCAAATCGCCAAATCTTCAAATCCTCAAATCTTCAAAATCTTCAAATCGCCAAATCCTCAAAATCGACAAAAATCTAGATACTCAAGTCATTAAAATTTTCAAGACGCCAAATCTTCACAACATCGAATCTTCAAAATCCTCAAAACTCCAAATATTCAAATCCTTAAAATTCTCATATCTTCAACATCCTCCTATTCGTAAGCCAAATCTTCAAATCCGCAAACACAAAATCCTCAAATCCCTAAATCTTCAAATCCCGAAATCTTCATATTACTAAAATACTAAAAACCCCAAATGCTCAAATTCTTCAAATCCCAAAACCCTGAGATTACCAAATCTCCAAAACTTGAAGTCCTCAAAATCTTCAAATCCTTGAAATTCTCAAATCCTCCAAATATCAAGTCCCTAAAATCCGCAAATCACCAAATTTTCAAATCCTCAAATCGCAAATCCTTAAAACATCAGACCCTCAAAATTTCATATCACCAAATCCTCCAACTATTCAAATCCTCATTTTCAAAATCCGCAAAATCCCCAAAACAAAATCCTCAAAATCTCAAAAGCATCAAATCGCCAAATCTTCAAATCCTCAAATCTTCAAATCGCCAATTCCTCAAAATCGACAAAAATTTAGATCCTCAAGTCATTAAAATTTTCAAGACGCCAAATCCTCACAACATCGAATCTTCAAAATCCTCAAATCCTCCAAACATTCAAATCCTTACAATTCTCATATCTTCAACACCCTCAAATTCGCAAGTCAAATCTTCAAATCCGCAAACAGAAAATCCTCAAATCCCTAATTCTTCAAATCCTGAAATGTTCATAACACTAAAATCCTAAAACTCCAAATGCTCAAATTCCTCAAATCCCAAAACCTTGAGATTACCAAATCTCCAAAACTTCAAGTCCTCAAAATCCTCAAATCCTTGAAATTCTCAAATCCTCCAAATATCAAGTCCCTAAAATCCGCAAATCACCAAATTTTCAAATCCTCAAATCGCAAGTCCTTAAAACATCAGACCCTCAAAATTTCATATCACCAAATCCTCCAACGATTCAAATCCTCATTTTCAAAATCCGCAAATTAAATCTTAAAATCCCCAAAACACAAAATCCTCAAAATCTCAAAAGCATCAAATCGTCAAATCCTCATATCTTCAAAATCTTCAAATCGCCAAATCCTCAAAATAGACAAAAATCAATTTTGACTAGACCTATGTACTGTAGAAGTATTTGTGTCACAATAAACTTAAACTTAATCTAGATCCTCAAGTCATTAAAATTTTCAAGACGTCAAATCCTCACAACATCGAATCTTCAAAATTCTCAAATACTCCAAATATTCAAATCCTTAAAATTCTCATATCTTCAACATCCTTTTAAGTGAATTTATCTTTAGTTTGTAAGATTGTATTCTTTTTAATACCCTACAAAAACATTTATGTTTGTTGGGTTATAATAAAATATTATTATTATTATTATTATCCTCAAATTCGCAAGTCAAATCTTCAAATCTGTAAACACAAAATCCCCAAATTCCTAAATCTTCAAATCCTGAAATCTTCATATTACAAAAATCCTAAAAACCTCAAATGCCTCAAATCTCAAAACCCTGAGATTACCAATTCTCCAAAACTTCAAGTCCTTAAAATCTTCAAATCCTTGAAATTCTCAAATCCTCCAAATATCAAGTCCCTAAAATCCGCAAATCACCAAATTTTTAAATCCTCAAATCACAAATCCTTAAAACACCAGATCCTCAAAATTTCAAATCACCAAATCTTCAAAATCGTCAAAATTCTCAAAAATCTCAGATTCTCAAATCATTAAATCTGCAAAATACTCAAATCACCAAATCCTCAAAATTTTCAAAACGTCAAATTCTCACATCAAATCTTCAAAATTCTCGGATCCTTAAATCGTTAAATCCTAAAAATCCTCAAACCACCAAATCCTTCAAATCCACAAAACCCTCAAATCCTCAAAATCACCAAATCCTCCAAATATTTAAATCTTCATTTTCAAAATCCACAAATCAAATTTTAAAATCCCCAAAACACAAAATTCTCAAAATATCAAAAGCATCAAATCGCCAATCAAGTCATTAAAATTTTTAAGACGCCAAATCCTCACAACATCGAATCTTCAAAATCTTCAAATCCTTAAAATTCTCATATCTTCAACATCCTCAGATTCGCAAGTCAAATCTTCAAATCCGCAAACACAAAGTCCTCAAATCCTGAAATCTTCATATTACTAAAATCCTAAAAACCCCAAATGTTCAATTTCCTCAAATCTCAAAACCCTGAGATTACCAATTCTCCAAAACTTCAAGTCCTTAAAATCCTCAAATCCTTGAAATTCTCAAATCCTCTAAATTTTAAATTCTCAAGTCCTCAAAATCCGCAAATCACCAAATAATCAAATCTTCAAAACACAAATCCTTACAATAGCAGATCTTCAAATTGTCCAAATCCCCAAATTTTCAGCTCCTCAAAACACCAAATCGGCAAATCCACAAAATCTTTAAATTATCAAATGTTCAAATCCTTAAATACTCAAAACCCTCAAATCCTTAAAATCCTCAAACCACCAAATTCTAAAAATCCTGAAATTCTTGCAAAAAATAAAAAAGTATCCTCAAAATAATCAAATCTTAAATCGTTGAAGGAGTTCACGAAATTTGAGGAGTCAAATCACCAAAGCCTCAAAGTTTCAATTCCTCAAAATTCTCAAATGATCAAATCATGGAAAAATCACCAAATTTTCAAAACACCAAATCCTCAAAATATTCAAATTCTCAAAATACTCAAATCTCCAACAAATCCTCAAAATACTTCGATCTTCAAAACACCAAATCCTCAAAATTTTCAAATGCTCGAAACCCTCCAATCACTCCTAAAAATCCACAAACATCAAATCTTAAATCCTTGAACTCCTCAAATCTCTAGATGTTCAATTGTCCAAAATTTCAATTCCTCAACATTCTCAAATGATCAAATCCTTGAAATCACCACATCCTCAAAATCCGGAAATCACCAAATTCTCAAAATACCAAATCCTCAAAATTATCAAATTCTCAAAATACTCAAATCCTCACAACTCCAGATCCTCAAATCCTCAAAACCCTCATATTACCAACTGTTGAAATCCTCACAATAATAAAACTCTCAAAACACAAAATCCTAAATTTTTGAAATCCTCACAACCCTCAAATTACCAACTCCTCAAATACTCAAAATTTGTGGATCACCAAATCCTCAAAACACCAAATCCTAAATCCTTGAAATCTCCAAAACCCTCAGATCAACGAACCTTCAAATTTTAAAATACTCAAAGTCCGAGGATCACCAAATCCCCAAAATTTTCAAAACGCCAAATCCTCAAAACCCTCCAATTCTCAAAATCTGCAAATCAGTAGATGTTCAAAACACCAAATCTTCAAAATCATCAAATTCTCAGAAATCTCAAATCCTCAACTCATTAAAAGACGAGTCCAAATTTCTTTGTAAATTTTAGCATAATAAAGCCAAATTATTATTATTATTATTATTATCATTAAATTCGCAAAATACTCAATCCTCACAACTTCAAATCTTCAAAATTCTCGGATCCTCAAATCACCAAATTTTGAAAATCCTCAAATTACTGTAAAAAATACTCTCAAAATACTTAAATCCTCAAAATGTTCATATCCTTGAAGCTCCAAATCCTCAAAAAGTATTGCTCAAGTATTCAATTACTCATTTTCAAATCACTAAATCCGCAAAATACCAAATAAATCCTTGAAATTCTCACAATCCTCAAATCATCAAATCCTCAAAACCCTTAAATTATCAAATGATTAAATCCTCATCCTCAAAATTCTCAAATTATCAAATCCTCAGATCTCCAAAACACCAATTCCTCAAAATGATTAAATTGTCGAAACCCTCAAATCGCTAAATTTTCAAATCTTCAAAATGCCCAATCAGCAAATCATCAAAATCTTCAAAACATCAAATTCTCAAAATCTTCAAAAATCTCAGATCCTAAAATCCTCAAATCGCAAAATCTTAAAAATCCTCAAATCACCAAATCCTTAAAATCCCCAAAACCCTCAAATCCCCTAAAGCCTCAAGCCCTCAAAATCCGCCAATCAAATATTTAAATCCTCAATCTACAAATCCGTAAATCACCAGATCTTCAAAACACCAAATCCTCAAAATCATCAAATTCTCAAAAGACTCAAGTCGCCAAAATTTTCCAATCCTCAAATCTTCAAAATCCCAAAGCAAATCACGAAATCCTCAAAACGTCAAAATTCTCAGAAATGGCAGTTCCTCAAATCATTAAATCCACAAAATACTCAAATCACCAAATCCTCAAAATTTTCATAACACGAAATCCTCACAACATCAAATCTTCAAAATCCCCGGATCTGCAAATCACCGAATTCTTCAAATCCCCAAAACCCTAAAATCCTCAAAATCTGCAAATTACCAAATCCTCGAAATATTCGAATCCTTAAAATCCTCATCTTCAAAACCTCAAATCCGCAAATCAAATCTTCAAATCCTCAAAACATATCTTTAAAACACCACACACCAGACTCTCAAACTCTTCAAATCTTCAAAATTTCAATTCTTCATTATTTTAAAAACACCAAATGCTCAATCATCAAATCTTTAAAATCACCAAATCGTCTAATCCTCAAAATCTTTAAATTATCAAATGTTCAAGTCCTCAAATACTCAAAATCCCCAAATTACCAAATTCTAAAAATACTCAAATTACTATATTCTCAAAATAATCAAATCCTGAAAATCCACACAACATCAAATCTTAAGTCCTTGAAGGAGTTCAAGAAATTTGAGGAGTCACTCACCAGATCTTCAAATTTTCAATTCGTCAAAATTCTCAAATGTTCAAATCCTTTATATCCCTAAATCCTCAAAATACAGAAATCACTAAATCCTCAAAATGTAAAAATCCTCAAAACCCCAAATCCTCAAAATACTCAACTTCTCGAAATTTCATATTTTCAAATCCCCAAAATCTTCAAAATTATCAAATCCTCAAAACACCAAAGCCTAGATACTTGAAATCCTAACAACCCTCAAATTACCAAATCTTCCAAATTCGTGGTTCACCAAATTCTCAAAGCCCTCATGTTATCAAATGTTCAAATACTCAATTTCCCAAATCCTTAAAATAATCAAATCCTTAAAGTTGGTTGTCTTATTAGTGGAATTATGTTCTGTTAGACAATAAATACTCCTACATTATTATTATTATTAAAACATCAAATCTTCAAAAACATCAAATTCTCAAAAGGCTCAAATCGCCAGTTTTCAAATCCTCAATTCTTCAAAATCCTCAATCAGCGAATCATAAAAATCTTCAAATCAGCAAATCCTCAAAATCGTCAAATTTCTCAAAAATCTCAGATTCTCAAAATTTTCAAAACCCCAAACCCTCACAAATCCCCAAATCCTTCAAATTCCCAAAACCCCCAAATTCGCAAAACCATCAAATATTCAAAATCTGCAAATCACCAAATCCAGGAAATCCTCAAATGACCAAATCCTCAAATTCTTGAAATTCTCAAATCCTCCAGACATTCAGATCCTCAAGTCTTTAAAGTCCGCAAATCACCAAATGTTCAAATCCTCAAAACACAAATCCTTAAAACACCATCTTTAAATTATCAAATGTTCAAATCCTTATTCTCGAATCACTAAATCCCACAATATTAAAATTCTCAAAATTTCTTATTCTCAAATCACCAAATCCTCAAAATTATCAAACCCTCAAAAGACCAAATCTTAAATCCTTGAAATCCTCACAACCCTCAAATGACCAACTCCTCAAATCTTCAAAACAACAAATCCTAAATCCTTGAGGTACTCAAAATACGCAAATCGCCAAATCTTCAAATTTTCAAATCCTTAAAATCCTCAAATTCTCAAAGTCCAAGGATCACCAAATCCTCAAAATTTTCAAAATCCAAAGTGAGGTTATGTCGTGATACGATTTAATATGAGGGTTTGGTGTGCTAAGTACAAGGTTGTGCCCTTGTCACACCGCAGATGAGCATAAATAGGTTTTTATTTAGCTATTTTGTGTAAAGTATTACATATTTTGTAAAGTGAGGTTATGTTTACAGGAAAATTCACTCGTTTACTTTGTAATTATATAGACATAAAACTGATAAAATACTCGAAATAGACACAAATAGGTCCGTACTGATAACGGAGGGTCAAAGTTTATATAACCTTTATGTACAAATATTACAATTTTTTTAAGTGAGGTTATGTTTACTGACTCGGATTTAAAACTTGAAATACTACTAAACTGTTTCAAAACAAGTTGTTAGTGTTTTGGCCCCCAGGTAGTGTCAATTATTACTTATTTGTAATTTTATCGACAAAAGAAATTTTGAAAAGTGAGGTTATGTTAGTTGTGAGGTTATGTTGACCTTTTTCGTATCACACAATTATGGAAAAAGGGGCCCACGGTTGTTGCGTATGTCTCGCTATAGCCCCCGATTTGCGAAAAATCACTGAAACTGACACAAATGGGTGCCCCCTGATGGTCAAGTTACAGGCGTGTGTTTCAGAAATTGTAAGTACAAATTCCAACCCAGCTTGAATTTATTTTATGATACTTGTAGGAGTGGGGCGACGACTACAAGATTTGTCCGAGCTGCACCACCGACTTGGACACATTCTACCAATTCAGAGAAAAATGTATCACTAGTAACATTTTCCGAAACCAAAAACTCGCAGATCCGCCTTCGCCTTCAAGGGACTCACCACCCAAAGCCAAACCGGCAGGCCCCAAGTCCCAGAAAACGAACTTCACCTGCGACCATTGTGACCGAACATTTAAAACTAGTACTCAGTTCGTAGCCCACACTACCAAGGACCACAAACTCGACGCCAAAACCGTGAAACCGTTCGGGTGTTCTCTGTGCCCCAAACACTTCGCGTCCGCCGCCAACTTGAGCCAGCACTTGCAGTACCACAAGAGCGAGCGCTCGCACGTTTGTACGTTCTGTGGAAAGGGGTTCAAGACCCGCAGCGATCTGGCCATCCACGAGAAGCTCCACTTGAACAAGAAGGAGTACGAGTGCGAGGAGTGTCGCAAGCGGTTCAACACCCACAAAGACCTACGGACGCATAAGTTCGTGGTGCACACTGATTCGTCCCAGTGGCCCCATGTGTGCGAGTTCTGTTCGAGGCGGTTCCCCACGAAGACTAATTTCGACGCGCACGTGCGACGGCACAAGAATGAGAGGCCTTTTGCTTGTCATTTGTGCGATAAGACTTTTGTGGTGAACGATTCGTTGCAGAAGCATTTTCTGGCGCATAGTAATCAGAGGGCGTTTGTTTGTGATATTTGTCAGAGGGAGTATAAGCATAAGAGGGTGATGGTTTTGCATAAGAAGCGGGTGCATGGGGTGGGGGATGTGAAGGTGCCTGAGCGGGTGAAAAAACATTTGTGCCATATGTGTCCGAAGTCGTTTTTTGACAGGAATAAGCTGGCGAAGCACATGTGTAGTCACACGGGGGAGAAGCCCTACATGTGTGGGGTTTGTGAGAAGAAGTTTGTCGATAAGTCGTATATTAAGCCGCACATGAAGAAGGTTCACAATGTTGATGATGATTAAACAATTTTTGCACTATTTTTAATTAATAATTACGTTACCTAGATCCTGATCAAATTCTCAAATCCTCAAATCACCAGATCTTCCAAATTCTCAAAAGACCAAATCCTCCAAATCCGCAATACCTGAAGATCCTCAAATCATCAAAATCACGAAATTTTCAAATTCTCCAAAGCCTCAAACTCCTAAAAATCATTAAACTGTTAAAATATTCATCATCGAAATCCTCAAATCACCAAATCGTTAAGTTACCAAATCCTAAGAATTGTCAAATTACCAAATTCTTAGAATCCTCAAAACACTCATATCCTCAAATCACCAATCCTCGAAATCCACAAATCCTCCAAATATTCAAATCACCAAATCCTCAAGTTACCAAATCCTAAAAATCCCTAATCAGTAAATTATTATCAAACTCTTCAAATCACCAAATTCTCAAAATTGTTAAAATCTCAGATCCTCAAATCATTAAATCCGCAAACTACTTAAATCACCAGATCCTCAAAATACTCAAATGCTCAGAACATGAAATCTTCAGACCCTCAAAACACCAAAAAAGTCGCCAAATCCTCAAAACTCTCAAATCACCAACTCTTCAAATTCTGAAATCTTCATAACTAAAATCCTCAAAACCCCAAATGCTCAAGTTCTTCAAAAAAAATCCTGAAGTCACCAAATTTTCAAAATCCTCAAAACCCTCAAGTCCTCAAAATCCGCAGACCAAATTTTCAAATCCTCGAAATACATACCTCAAATTCCACAAATCCTCAAATCACCAATCCTTGAATACCACAAATCCTCCAAATATTCAAACCACCAAATCCTAAAAATCCTGAAAATCGTCAAATTACCAAATCATCACCAAATTTTCAAATCCTCAAATCTTCAAAATCCCCAATCAGTAAATCATCAAAATCTTCAAATCACCAAATCCTCAAAAATCTCAGATTCTCCAATCATTAAATCCGCAAAATACTAAAATCCCCAAAATCCACAAATCCTGAAAACTACTCAAATCCGCAAATCAAATCTTCAAATCCCCAAAACAAAACCCTCAAATCATTAAATCTTCATATTATTCTCATCCTCAGAACCCCAAATGCTCAAATTCTTCAAAACCCTGAGGTTACCAAATCTTAAGACTCCCAAAGAATCCACATATCAAATCATCAAATTCTGAAAACCCTCAAATCACCAGATTTTCACATCTTCAAAATCCACAATCAGTAAATCATCAACATCTTCAAATCACCAAATCCTAAGAATCCTGAAAATCGTCAAATTACCAAATCCCTAGAATCACTAGAAATCAGTCCCCATATCTTCAAATCACCAATATTCAAAGTCCTCAAGTCCCCAAAACCCTCAAGCCCTCAAAATGCGCAAATCAAATCCTGGAAACACCAAATCCTCAAAATCTACAATTATCAATCATTAAATCCGCAAAATACTCAAATCACAGAATCCTCAAAATTTTCAAAACGCAAATCCTCACATCAAATTTTCAAAATCGTCGGATCCTTAAAATCCCCAAAACATTCAAATCTTCAAAATCTGCAAATCACCAACTTCTCAAAATACTCAAATGCTAAGAACATAAAATCTTCAGACCCTCAAAATCCTCAAAACTCTCAAATCACCAAATCTTCAAATTCTGAAATCTTCATATTACTAAAATCCCCAAAACTCTGAGGTCACCAAATTTTCAAAATCCTCAAAACCCTCAAGTCCTCAAAATCTGCAGATCAAATTTTCCAATCCTCGAAATACCTCAAATTCTGCAAATCATCAAATTCTGTAAATCACCAGATCTTCAAAACACCAAATCCTCAAAATCATCAAATTCTCAAAACCCTCAAATCACCAAATTTTCAAGTCTTCAAAATTCCCAATCATCAAAATCTTTAAATCACTAAATTCTCAAAATTGTCAAAAATCTCAGATCGTTGTTCAATAATAAAATTCGCAAAGTACTCAAATCCATACATCAAATCCTAAAAATCCTGTAATCACCAAGTCCTTAAAATCAGCAAATCCTCAAAATACTCATGCTCAAATCTTTGAAGTTCTCAAATTCTCCAAATGTTCAAATCACCAAATCTTCATTCAAATCCTCAAATTCTTCAAATCCTCAAATCACCAAATCTCCTAATTCTATAGTCTTCAATTTTAAAAACACCGAATCCTCAAAATCATCAAATCACCAAATCCTTAAAATCCTCAATACAACAAATCCTTAAATCCTCAAAATCCCCAAATTCTCATCTCCAAAAAACACCAATTCATCAAAATTATCAAATCTTCAAAATTCTCAAACCCTTAATAATAATAATAATAGTGCTTTATTACGCCGAAAGATGTAAAGGCATTACATAAAGTACATAACAAAATATTAACATAACAATTCATATTAACATAATAGTAACAATTTGCGACATTCTTTCTTGAAGGCGTTGAGGGAGATACCAAAAAACTCTAAAGTGTTGCATTCGTTAGCAATCATCAAAACGCTATTTAGAGGCGAATGTAATGCATAATTCGTTTTATGAACTGGTATAAAAAACAGCCTAGGCGTACGAACCTTACGGATTGACACATTAAGACCTACCAACGCTAGCAATATGGGGGCTTCAATTAAACCATTTAAATCACCAAATCCTAAAAATCCTGAAAGTCGTCAAATTACCAAATCATCACCAAATTTTCAAATCACCAAATCCTCAAAAATCTCAGATTTGCAAATCACTAAATCTTCAAACGCTCAGAACACAAAACTCTCATCTGAAAGTCGCCAAATCCTCGAAATTCTCAAATCCTCCAAATATTCAAATCCTTAAAATCTCTCTATCTTCAAACTACTCAAATCCACAAATCAAATCTTCAGATTCCCAAAACAAGACCCTCAAATCATTAAATCCTGAAATCTTCATATTATCCACATCCTCAGAACCCCAAATGCTCAAATTCTTCAAATCTTCAAAACCCTCAAAATTTTCAAAACGCAAATCCTCACATCAAATTTTAAAAATCGTCGGATCCTTAAAATCCCCAAATCCTTCAAATCTTCAAAATCTGCAAATCACCAAATTCTCAAAATACTCAAATGCTAAGAACATAAAATCTTCAGACCCTCAAAATCCTTATCCTGAAGTCCCCAAATCCTCAAAACTCTCAAATCACCAAATCTTCAAATTCTGAAATCTTCATATTACTAAAATCCCCAAAACCCTGAGGTCACCAAATTTTCAAAATCCTCAAAACCCTCAAGTCCTCAAAATCCGCAGGCCAAATTTCCAAATCCTCGAAATACCTCAAATTCTACAAATCCTCAAATTCTATAAGTCACCAGATCTTCAAAACACCAAATCCTCAAAATCGTCAAATTCTCAAAACCCTCAAATCACAAAATTGTCAAGGCTTCAAAATTCCCAATCATCAAAATTTTTAAATCACCAAATCCTCAAAATTGTCAAAAATCTCAGATCGTTGTTCAATCATTAAATCCGCAAAATACTCAAACCCTTACATCAAATTCTAAAAATTCTGTAATCACCAAGTCCTTAAAATCAGCAAATCCTCAAAATACTCATGCTCAAATCTTTGCAGTTCTCAAATTCTCCAAATATTCAAATCCGCAAATCACCAAATCTTCATTCAAATCTTCAAAACACAAAATTCTTAACACCAAATCCTCAGATTCTTCAAATCTTCAAAATTCTCATGTCCTCAAAATGTTCAAATCCTCAAAACTCCAAATCCTCAGAACCCTCATGTTATCAAGTGTTCAAATCCTCATTCTCAATTCACCAAATCTTCAAAACACTCAAATTCTCAAAACTCCTTATTCTGAAATCATCAATTCCTCACAATAATCAAATCCTCAAAATACCAAAACCTAAGTCCTTGAAATCTTCACAACTCTCAAATCACCAAATCTTCAAATCCTTAAAATTCGTCGATCACCAAATCCTCAAAACAACAAATCCTTAAATCCTCAAAATCCTTAAAACCCTAAAATTATCAAATGTTCAAATCCTTATCCTCAAAAAACTTAAATCCCTAAAACACCCAATCCTCAAAGTAATCAAATCCTGAAAATCCACAAAACATCAAATCTTAAATCTCTGAACTCTCAAATCACCAAATTTTCAATTCCTCAAAATTCTCAAATGATCAAATGCTTGAAATCCCGAAATCCCCAAAATCCAGAAAACACCAAATTCTCAAAATATTCAAATTCTCAAAAAAATTAAATCTTCAAAATCCGCATTCAGCAAATCATCAAATTCTCCAAATTCTCAAAATTGTTAAAAATCTGAGATCCTCAAATCATTAAATCCACAAACTACTTAAACACCAAATCCTTAAAATCCTCAAATCGCCAAATCCTCACAACATCAAATCTTCAAAATCCTCACATCCTCAAATCGCCAAATCCTAAAAATTCTCAAATCACCAAATCCTTAAAATCCCCAAAAGCCTCAAATCTTCAAAATTTGCAAATCACCAGATCCTCAAAATACTCAAATGCTTAGAACACAAAATCCTCAATCCTTCAAAACCCTCAAAATACTAAATACTAAAATTCTAGTCTTCAAATCCCCAAAACCTTGAGATCACCAAACCTTCAAATCTTCAAGTCCTCAAAATCCGCAAATCATCAAATCTTCAAAACATAAAATCCTTAAAACACTAAATCCTCAAATTCTTCAAATGCTCAAATCACCAAATCTTCAAATTTGTAAATCCTCAAAATTCTAAAAAACACCAAATCCTGAAAATCATAAAATCCTCAAATCCTTAAAATCCCCAAAACCCTCAAATCTTCAAAATTTGCAAATCACAATACTCAAATGCTCATCCCAAAATCGCCAAATCCTCGAAATTCTCTAATCTTCCAAATATTCAAATCCTTACAATTTCCAAAGTCCTCAAGATCCGCAAATCACCAAATCTTCAAATCCCCAAATCACCGAATCTTCAAATTCTCAAATCCTTATAATTCTAAAAACATCAAATCACCAAACCTTCAAATTACCAAATCAACAAATTCTCAAAACACCAAATCCTTAAAATCCTCAGAACAACGAACCCTTAAATCCCTAAATTCCCATCTCCTCAAAACCCCAAATCCTCAGAATTCTCAAATCTTCAAAATCGTCAAATCCTCAAAACCCTTAAATTATCAAATGTTGAAATCCTCAAAACACCAAATCCTAAATGCTCAAAAGTCTTAAAATCCTCAAATCCTTAAAATCCTCAAATTACTACATCATCAAAGTAATCAAATCCTGAAAATTCGCAAAACATCAAATCTTAAGTCCTTGAATTGCTCAAATCACCAAATCTTCAAATTTTCAATTCCTTAACATTCTCAAATGATCGAATCCTTGAAATTCCCAAATCCTCAAAGTCTGAAAATCACCAAATTCTCAAAACATCAAATCTTTAAAATAATGAAATTATCAAGATACTCAAATCCTCAAAACTCCACAACCTCCTCAGTTCTTCAAATCCTCAAAATTCGTTATTTGAATTTAGCGCGCCTCTCAGTTGAACCAATGCTGCCAATAATGCTGACGTATCACCCCATTCCCCCATCCCAATGTTTTGCAACAGTGCCGCCACCACGCCATCGCGGCGACTCGGCGCACCAAACCGAACCCCGAAGAGCCTTTTCTGGCTTTTCCACCAGTTTCGCTCACTTAAAAACCCCCCAGTGGTGCCCCCCATGTGACAAAAACCCCCAGAACACCCAGTGTTCCCACATTTACTCGAATGTGACTCCCCACCCTTCGAGGTTATGTCAACCATGGGGGCCGCCCCCGGCCTGCTCGACCTCCCCGAAGAGGTAATCTGCGAGATATTCCGCTTCGTGGACGCCACCGCCCTCTACCTCCTATCAAAGTAAGTCCCCCCCAATCTCTGCACGAATAACCCCAATTTCCAGGACTTGCACCCACCTGGAGTACATAATCCGCAATAACGTAAGTCTGTGGAGATTCATCGACGCCCGCCGTAGCCCCAACAGCAAGGAGAAAATTTGTTATTGTTTAGATCGGTGCTACGACGACGGCAAGACCTGGACCCACACTCTCCTCTTCCGCGGCGACAACAAACGGGAAATCCTCCTCCCGACCACGATCCTGCCCAGAATCGGGACTTTCGCGAATCTGGCGGTCTTGGCGTGCGAGAAGCTGTTCATCAACGGGAAACTAGTATAAAAAAGTGTGAAAGTCGGCTTCGAGTGACGAGTTTGTTTTAGTATAATGTGATGACGTTCCCGTCGCAGCTGCAGGAGTTTAGCCTGCGCAAGACGCAGGTGTCGTGCCCGTTGAAGTTTTTCCAAGGCTCGGGGCAGCACTTCAACAAGTTGCGGGTGCTGATTTTGGACGAGTGCGACTGGTTGACGAGTACGGCGTTCATGCCTATCGCTAAGTACCCCAATTTGGAGATTTTGTCGGTTTATAAGTGCAACAACATCGAGAACTCGATAGCGTACTTGAGCATGGCGGGACAGGGGTTTAAGTCGTTGAAGATCTTTGATGCGAGATTATCACGTAATTTTGTTGTTGTTGTGGGGTGAATTTAGTTTGATTTTTGTGTTTCAGCCCTCGGTAATGCTCTGATTCGGGCTATTTATAGGCTGCAGTCTTTATTGGCGATTTATTTACAGAATAAAGATGTTAGTTATAAAATGGATTACTTTAGGAGGAAGCTGGAGATCGCGGAAGGAAACCCAGCTCGGGATTTTTTAGATGAAGAGGAATTCACGATAGCTGAAGTAGAAGAAGACAGTCTGAGACTGAATTGTGAGGAAAATGAGATGCTAGATGATAATGGTCTTATAGATTATTTGACAGTTCCTAGCGGTAACAAAGAAGCGCAGTTGCCGCAAAGCCTGCTTTATTTTGACCCGTACAACCCATGCACTTGTGGGTTCGACGACCCCCAAAAATGGAAAAAGCAGTGTAAGTTGGACCATTGTTTAAGTATATTATAGTTGGACAACCTATACAGACAATCGCTTTCCCATGTAGAAAAGAATGAATATATATTTTACATCTCACTCGCTTCACTATGAAGTGGCGGTACCTTACGAAAGGGGGTAAAAATAGTCCGTAAGCACGTAATGTCGATAAGGTAGTAAACGGACGTATTAATCAGTACGTTGTACGGGGAGCAGTCACAAAATAAGCAAACGTACGTGTTGAAGACTTTACTGTAATATATGTATATGTAGTGCATACCTGTAGTAGTAGTTTTCAGTTCTCTATATTTCAATTTTTCAATTTTCGGAATTTTTAAATTTTCGATTGTCCATTTTTTTTTTATTTTTCGATTTTCCAATTTTTCGATGTTTCGATTTTTGAATTAACCGATTGTTCAATTTCTCGATTTTTAAATTTTAGATTTTCCAATTTTAATTTTTTTGATTTTTTTATGTTTCGATTTCTCGATTTTACGATGTTTCAATGATACGATTTCTCAATTTTTGTCCTCTTCAATTTACGGTTTTTAAATATTTCGATTTTTCAATTTTTCAAATTTTCACGTTTCTAAATTTTCAGTTTGCCGATTTCTAAAGTATTTTTTTCATTTGTCCATTTCTGGATTTCCTAAAGTTTCGATTTTTCACGTCTTCAATTCCTCAATTTTTCGATTTTTTAAGATTACGATTTTTCAATTTTGCTTTTTTAGATTTTCGATTTCTCAATTTTCCAATTTTTTAATTTCTCAATTTTTTGAATATTTCTTTCAGTTATGAGATTTTTCAATATTTCAATTTTTCGATTTTTTGAATTTTAATTTTTGATTTTCCAGTTTTTCTTTTTTAAAATTTTTCGATTATTCAATTCTTTAATTTCTCAATTTATCGAATTCAGATGTTTCGTTGTTTTGATTGTTCAATTTCTCAATTTTCCAATTTTTAACTTTCCTTTTCGGCCTCCGACTCCTCAATTTCTCGATCCTCCGATTTTTCGATTTCTCGAAGTCTCAGTTTTTGAATTTTTCGATGTTTCGATTTTTGGATTTCTCGGTTTTTCGATTTTTTTCTTGTGAGCTTTTCAATTTCTGGATTTTCTAATTTTTCAATACCCCGATTTTTCAATTTTTCAAATTGAATTGGATCTCTCGATTCTTCAATTTTACGATATTTTAATTATTCATTGTTTTAAATTTTAGTTTTTTGGATTTCTCGATTTTTTGACTTTTTAGTTCTTCAGTATTTAAATTTTTGAATTTTTCATATTTTTGCGTTAAATTTTCAGTTTTCTGATTTCTCAATTAATCTATTTTTGATTTTCCCACTTCTCAAAGTTCCGATTTTTCAGTTCTTCAATTCTTCGATTTTTCGACTTCGCTTTATTGGTTTGTCGATTTCTCAATTTTTGGATATTTCTTTCAGTTTTGATATTTTTCAATACTTCGATTCTTTCATTTTTCGACTTCTAGATTTTTCTATTTTTTATTTTTGGATTTTCAGTTTTTTGTTTTTTATTTCAATTTCTCAATTTTTCAACTTTTTCATGTTTTAATTTTTAAATTTCTAGATTTTTCAGTTTCTCGAGTTTCCAGTTCTATATTTTAATTTTTTAAATTTACGAATGTTTAAATTTTTTTAGATCTCAATTCATTGAGATTCGGATGTTTCGATGTTTTGATTATTCAATCTCCCGCTTTATCAATTTTTTCATATTTAAGTTTTCGATTTTTCGATTTTGGCCTACTTCGGTTTCTCAATTTTTTGATTTTTCGACTTCTCGATTTTTCGACTTCTCGATTTATTTTGTCTTTTGATTTTTCGATTTCTCGATGTCTCAATTTTTGAATTTTACAATGTTTCGATTTTTCGATTTGTTGGTTTTTCGATTTTTTGCTTTTCGGTTTCTCGATTTTTCGATGTTTCGATTTTTGATTTACCTGATTTTTCAATTGTCCAATTTTTTAAATTCTCGACTTCTCGATTCGTTGATTTTTCAGTTTTTCGATTATTAAATTTTAGATTTTTATTTTTTTTTGATTTTTTGATGTTTGGATTTCTCCATTTTTTCAGTTTTAGGATATTTTAAGTTTTCAATGTTTTAAATTTTAGATTTTTCGATTTTTTAGTTCTTCAATATTTTTTAATTTTTCAAATTTTGACGTTTCTGAATTTTTAGTTTTCGGATTTCTCGATTAATCTATTTTTTTATATTCCCATTTCTTCACTTCCTAAAGTTTCGATTTTTCAGTTCTTCAGTTCTTCAATTTTTCGGATATTCAGGTTTTTGATTTTTCAATTTTTTGATTTTTTAAGTTTGCGATTTTTAGACTCTGCTTTTTTGACTTTTTTGTTTCTTAATTTTTAATTTCCTAATTTTTTGATATTTCGTTCAATTTTGTGATTTTTCAGTTTTTCGATTTCTCAATTTTAACTTTTCAATTTTTGAAATTATTAATTTTTTTCGATTTTTTGAGTTTTCAGTTCTCTATATTTCAATTTTTCAATTTTCGGAATTTTTAAATTTTCGATTGTCCAATTTTTTTTATTTTTCGATTTTCCAATTTTTCGATGTTTCGATTTTTGAATTAACCGATTGTTCAATTTCTCGATTTTTAAATTTTAGATTTTCCAATTTTAACTTTTTTGATTTTTTTATGTTTCGATTTCTCGATTTTACGATGTTTCAATGATACGATTTCTCAATTTTTGTCCTCTTCAATTTTACGGTTTTTAAATATTTCGATTTTTCAATTTTTCAAATTTTCACGTTTCTAAATTTTCAGTTTGCCGATTTCTAAAGTATTTTTTTTATTTGTCCATTTCTGGATTTCCTAAAGTTTCGATTTTTCACGTCTTCAATTCCTCAATTTTTCGATTTTTTAAGATTACGATTTTTCAATTTTGCTTTTTTAGATTTTCGATTTCTCAATTTTCCAATTTTTTAATTTCTCAATTTTTTGAATATTTCTTTCAGTTATGAGATTTTTCAATATTTCAATTTTTCGATTTTTTGAATTTTAATTTTTGATTTTCCAGTTTTTCTTTTTTAAAATTTTTCGATTATTCAATTCTTTAATTTCTCAATTTATCGAATTCAGATGTTTCGTTGTTTTGATTGTTCAATTTCTCAATTTTCCAATTTTTAACTTTCCTTTTCGGCCTCCGACTCCTCAATTTCTCGATCCTCCGATTTTTCGATTTCTCGAAGTCTCAGTTTTTGAATTTTTCGATGTTTCGATTTTTGGATTTCTCGGTTTTTCGATTTTTTTCTTGTGAGCTTTTCAATTTCTGGATTTTCTAATTTTTCAATACCCCGATTTTTCAATTTTTCAAATTGAATTGGATCTCTCGATTCTTCAATTTTACGATATTTTAATTATTCATTGTTTTAAATTTTAGTTTTTTGGATTTCTCGATTTTTTGACTTTTTAGTTCTTCAGTATTTAAATTTTTGAATTTTTCATATTTTTGCGTTAAATTTTCAGTTTTCTGATTTCTCAATTAATCTATTTTTGATTTTCCCACTTCTCAAAGTTCCGATTTTTCAGTTCTTCAATTCTTCGATTTTTCGACTTCGCTTTATTGGTTTGTCGATTTCTCAATTTTTGGATATTTCTTTCAGTTTTGATATTTTTCAATACTTCGATTCTTTCATTTTTCGACTTCTAGATTTTTCTATTTTTTATTTTTGGATTTTCAGTTTTTTGTTTTTTATTTCAATTTCTCAATTTTTCAACTTTTTCATGTTTTAATTTTTAAATTTCTAGATTTTTCAGTTTCTCGAGTTTCCAGTTCTATATTTTAATTTTTTAAATTTACGAATGTTTAAATTTTTTTAGATCTCAATTCATTGAGATTCGGATGTTTCGATGTTTTGATTATTCAATCTCCCGCTTTATCAATTTTTTCATATTTAAGTTTTCGATTTTTCGATTTTGGCCTACTTCGGTTTCTCAATTTTTTGATTTTTCGACTTCTCGATTTTTCGACTTCTCGATTTATTTTGTCTTTTGATTTTTCGATTTCTCGATGTCTCAATTTTTGAATTTTACAATGTTTCGATTTTTCGATTTGTTGGTTTTTCGATTTTTTGCTTTTCGGTTTCTCGATTTTTCGATGTTTCGATTTTTGATTTACCTGATTTTTCAATTGTCCAATTTTTTAAATTCTCGACTTCTCGATTCGTTGATTTTTCAGTTTTTCGATTATTAAATTTTAGATTTTTATTTTTTTTTGATTTTTTGATGTTTGGATTTCTCCATTTTTTCAGTTTTAGGATATTTTAAGTTTTCAATGTTTTAAATTTTAGATTTTTCGATTTTTTAGTTCTTCAATATTTTTTAATTTTTCAAATTTTGACGTTTCTGAATTTTTAGTTTTCGGATTTCTCGATTAATCTATTTTTTTATATTCCCATTTCTTCACTTCCTAAAGTTTCGATTTTTCAGTTCTTCAGTTCTTCAATTTTTCGGATATTCAGGTTTTTGATTTTTCAATTTTTTGATTTTTTAAGTTTGCGATTTTTAGACTCTGCTTTTTTGACTTTTTTGTTTCTTAATTTTTAATTTCCTAATTTTTTGATATTTCGTTCAATTTTGTGATTTTTCAGTTTTTCGATTTCTCAATTTTAACTTTTCAATTTTTGAAATTATTAATTTTTTTCGATTTTTTGAGTTTTCAGTTCTCTATATTTCAATTTTTCAATTTTCGGAATTTTTAAATTTTCGATTGTCCAATTTTTTTTATTTTTCGATTTTCCAATTTTTCGATGTTTCGATTTTTGAATTAACCGATTGTTCAATTTCTCGATTTTTAAATTTTAGATTTTCCAATTTTAACTTTTTTGATTTTTTTATGTTTCGATTTCTCGATTTTACGATGTTTCAATGATACGATTTCTCAATTTTTGTCCTCTTCAATTTTACGGTTTTTAAATATTTCGATTTTTCAATTTTTCAAATTTTCACGTTTCTAAATTTTCAG